GTGTTACCTTTTAACCCTATTTCTTTAAAAACACCCAGTCACGATGGATATGACCACACTGGCATCAACGACATTAGAAAACTGTGACTAAACACTGCTGAATTACAGAAATGCATGCTCTGTGAGCTCTGTCAAAAACCACAACAGGCAGAGTCTAAACATACATGGAAGTCAGTGAGCGTCATTCAGAGAAAAAGGCTGCTTCAGACGGCATACACAGGGAAGGAGTTAACAAGGCACAGGTGGGGATGGTTAGGTGATCACTGTGGGCGGGGACAGGGAAAAGGCAGAGGTCTGGACACAAGGTAGGAAGTGGAGCGTGTGAAAGAGAAACTCAGTTTTCTCATCTCACTGAGGGATATTTACCCAGATATACTGCACTGTGTATTAGGATTTAGAACAGTCCCAAACACCTCATCATTATGTATTCAGGACCTTGGACAGCTCACACAAACACCTTATCACCTCCTTCTCTCTGCCAATTACACTCTCTCTCTCACACACACACCGATTGCTCAAAGTGCACTATGGCATTGTGACACGCACGTGTTTAACCATATGTGTACAACGACGCCCCCTCTCTGCTCCCCCTCTGCTCTTGCCTCCTCCAGTTGCCCCCCCACAGCCAAAAGCACAGTGTGATTTCAGACCCACAACTTGAGCCACAGCTTGGGGCTGCAGCTGACCTTCCATGGAGCAGGTTTTGGTGAGTGTGTGTTTCACTTGGGAACAGATGATGTGCATCATGATGGGCCTGACATCAACGTGTGTCACAGAAGGAGGATTCAGAAGTAAAGACAGCCCACCTCCCTTCACACCTACCCTAGAATGACTCACAAATGCCAGATTTTGTAACTCTTGTCATGACCTTGCATTTGGCTGGCGTGCAGCACAGCATCCTAATAAACAGAGTGAACTATGAGCTGAATTGTTAACTGAAATACTGGGGGAGGTTAAACTGCCCCCTGGAGTGAGAAAAGGAGGAGAGTCCAAACCTAAGATCAATATATACAGTATGATGGAAGTGGCTGAATTTCAGACCTAAATATGAATTTTAAGAAGTTGTAAAGAGAAAGATAAAAACAAAATCACTGAAGAAAGTGAACAAAATTTGCCACTGATTTTTTGCCACTGATTTAGTGACATCTTGGTTTAATATTTGTATTTACAGAACATATGTGAATTGGGTTAAATGCTCTTGTTTGTGGGTTAAATTTCATTCAGTGTTATTTTTTGGAAGCAGTTAAATTATTCATAGTTATTCGTTATTTCATGGTCAAATGTCTAAACGTGAAACGTGAGGCAAACCATTTTGACAAAGATGAAGAAAATACATTTTTGTTCCAAACATTGTTCAAACATAGGGTTTGCAGCTCATGTAAGTTGCGCTGTAGTCAGAAATGTGTCCAAATTAGTCATTGTGCAGTGACCTGGACTGTCCCTTCAGATGCAGCCACCTTTTCTTTGCCATCTAAGTCACACTTTGCAATGGGTTGCAGTTCATACATTTCATTCAACTGTTCTGTCCAGCAGTGTCTAGGCTATTGGGCTGTTTTAAAACTAACACTGAAGTCGGTTTTAGTTTGAGTAGAGTGCAGCTAATACTGATAACAGTTCACCAGTGCCGTGAAATCACCTCGACAGCTTCAGTACCTCTGCTAATGCCGAGTGTGGGATCGATCTGCGGCGCCGCTGGGTTTCCCTCTCACATCCATCTGTTGCTCTGACCTGTAGGTGGCTCTCGGCTCAGTTCCAACTTGGCCTACATCAAATGAGACAGATGATTTTCAGTTTTAATGCCAAATGAGTTTTCCCTCCCACTCTCCTCCCACCCTCAGCCCCCCTCTGAGTGCATGAGCCATGACAGAAAAAATAACAAACACTATCTCAACAAACTGCAAACAGTATGTGGGGGGGGATTTTTTTTTTCAGAAGTGGTAAACATCAAGTATGACTTGATTTATAAGAAAAGTAAAGCAGTTTGTGTTTCCAAGAGCTGTGTGTCTGTCTCTCTCTCTCTCTCGTGGAATAAACAGAGAAAATGCATTCATTTTTTGGAAGCATTTAAAAAACAAACTGTCAACAACACACGTGTTGTTTTTGCATCATTTATCCAATCAGTGTCTCACCCCAGCAGTAAACACGGGCTATCCAAATGCTGGCCTGCAGAAACAGATTGACTTAAACAGGGTCTGAAACAGGAAAATATGAGCAGACATCACATCAGAGTGACAGCTGATTCTGGTTGATTTAGATGAAGTGCACAAAAGGAACAATTTTAGAGCCTATGTAACAAAATCTGTCAGGTCTGAGTTCTGGTCCACCTAGACTAGACACAGATGCTGCGCTGCAAAGAATGATAGGCTTCTGTGGTCTGTCTCATTGTTTCCCAAAGACTGGGTCGTGACCCTCAGGTGGGTCGCAAGAGATTTTTTGTGTGGGTCATCTCGCATCACGTTTCCCAGGAGTTTACGGATAATGTTCATTGACATGGGTCGCAAAGGTTTAAAATATGTGTCTCTAGAAAAAAAAGTTTGGGAAACACTGGTCTAGATTACACAAAGCTGGATTACAGCTATAGTCAACCACAACTGACCAACATAAAAACAGTCCAATCATTGCTAGACCTGACCCACATCTAGTTGACATACCATGTCAGCAGTCAGATTTTTTATAATTTATCTTTTGATCAAGACTTAGTATTAAATAATATGACAAATATTGAACATTTTATTGGTTTTTATTGGTGAAAATCCGACGGACTCTTCTTCGTTTCCTTCATAAACATTGACACCAGGAAACAGAACAATGACAGGCAGTGGAGCGGTGACTTTTTTAGGTAAAACTGCGCTGGAACCTCTCTGCCACTGCCTTTCTTGTCTCTTCCTGCTCTGACTCTCAGCTCTCCTCCCCTCGGCCTGACGTAGACAGAGGATTCTCAGCTGCCCACGGCCGTGGGCGAGCGGCAGCCGCGGGTATAAAGCGTGCAGCGGGATTCCAGTGCGTCACTGCCTGGAGCGGCGGCACCTCGTTGACCAGAGCTGAACATCAGCAGAGATAGCAGCAAGAAGGCACCTCAGCGCCTCGCAGGCTAACTCGCTTTCGGCTTTGGTTCGAGATGGTGACTCGCAGGATCATGAGGAGCTCAAGCGCCCGCAACTTTAAGAGTGAGTTTCTTCATTGTGCATCTCTGTAGTTTAGTTGTACATGCAGGTATCTTATGAGTCACTCATTTTTAAAATTATATTCCTTCCATGTGATGTTTTACCCGTGCATTTTCACCGTGTTGTTCTGTAGTCTGGAACTTATCATTTTATATTATGGTTTTACGCACGGTTACTTTGGGAAATGTAAGGTATCTCATAACGCATCTGTGTTCAATTAGACAATGTATCTTATATTACCAACGTCAGGTCTACGTGAGCATTCTGACTTAACCCTGCGTTTTGTAAAATTTCATATGAACGACTCCATTTTTCTGAGTCCCCGTCACTTTTACGCACAAAAATGCAGCCGTTATTTGCGCACAGTACTTAAAGTTCCGCATCTTAATCCGACTTTGGAGTTTGATTTGGGCATCAAGTATCTGCAGACAACTTGAAAATCCAAACCGTGCTTCATCCATTGCTAATGGTCCACTTGTGAAAAGGTCAGGAGGCGAGCCGCTGGAAAATCTTGCGCAAAGCGGATGAATGGGGACCTCATCACTTTTTAATGCGCGTACTTTTTCCTGTGGTGAACACCTTTGTGCACAGTTATCCGAGCTGTGCCAAGACACTGCTGCAAAATTAAACAGTAACAGTAACTGATCCAGGTCTGGTTACGTGTTTAACGCGTGCCGCCTCTCCTGTATCTCAGCTCTCCACGGAAATCTTTTTGGAGAAAAACAACAGGAGAATTGGGACGCGGGGTTTATTTACGGCAGAAGGCGCGTGCACGTTTAGGAGTTTGTTTCCGAATAGGTTATGAGTCAGTTTCGGTGAAAATGTATCGATGTTGTTTTTATTTCTCTCTTGAGTTGTGTAATCATTCAGACACGTGTAAGACGATCCGGTGGTTATTGTTGGAAGAATGATTTCTGTAATCTGAATTATTCATGACTCCAATGTTGCGTGGATCAACAACAGGTCACAGCAGAACTGTGTTTATAGAGTCATTGATGACTTCCAACACTTTGATGGACAGCTACCGGTTGGCTGGTGCATCAAACATCAAATCACGTTCCTTTACTCCAGTCAATCCCAAAACCTGTAGGTCATTGTCACCAAATACGATTGCATTTTATTAATGAATTATTTTGTGTCACACAAAGTCAACGTTGTTAATTTAATTTTTAAAACAAATAAAGTACGAACGTGCGTTTGCTTTCTTCTGTCTATCATTAACCAAAATTTGTTTTTAAACTTTCTGCCACACTTGGTTACAATGCAGCCAGAGGTGCCTTAGAAGATGATTCTCTTACATCGTTTACTTACATGTTAACCAGAAGAATCCTGACTAGTGTTGTATTTTGTGTTCCTATATTCTTATAGAAAAGGTTTGAACAAAACACCGGGTCCTAACCATTTCCCTCCCCCTCCTCTCCTCAGGTGGATTCACTCTGTGGTTGGTTCTGTGGCTGGTGGTGGTGAAGCCCGGGGGGGTCAGCGCATGCCCCAGGCTGTGCGTGTGTTACCCCATGCCCATGACGGTCAGCTGCCAGTCCCAGAACTTGACCACAGTGCCGGCTGGAGTGCCGTATGATTCTCAGCGTGTTTTCCTGCAGAACAACCGCATCACAGAGCTTCGAGCAGACTCCTTTGGCTTTGAAACACAGGTTTTTAAGAAAAAAAAACGCTGCTGAATTCTTCTTCTCTCATGTGTATAATCTCATCTGAACATGTTTTTCTTTGCACATATTTTCAGGTGCTGTGGCTATATGGTAACAATATCACGTGGATTGAGGCCGGGGCATTCAGTAACCTCAGGGTGCTGGAGGAGCTGGATCTAGGTGATAACCCTTTGCTGCGGCGCCTGGAAGGTGGAGCTTTCAGGGGGTTGGAGAAGCTGCAGAGCCTGCACATGCATCGGTGTAAGCTGGCTGCTCTCCCCCATGACCTCTTCCGGAAGTTGTACAGTCTACAGTTTCTTTACCTGCAGGTAAACCCGACTCTACACCCAGATTATCACGTACTTAGCTTTTTAGTTCTTCCTTTTAGTTGGAGAAATACCTTTTGTAAATAAAACTTTGACCCTGCCAAGTCTTGGGGTTTTTTTCCCAGGCAGTTGATGATTAGTTTTTACTGTAATTCTGCTTTAAAATATTTTTTCTTCTTCTTCTTTAGCTCAAAATATTTGCTACTGTATGTGACATAAACAGGTTTCAGGGAAATGGAAATGGGACTGATTTATTCAGTTTAAAACCTCTATTTTGTGCTCCATTGTACTTGTAGTGATATAGAGTGTGTGAGGAGTCATGAAATCATGTCTGATGTTGGTTGGCTCTGTAACAGCTGTGCTACATTCAGCGTCTTTGTCTTTGTAATAATTAATTATTGTAACACTACTTTGGTTGCAGTTAAGTGTGACAGACTTGGAAACCTGACGCCTGTTTTCTTTCGTGCCTTTTTTTTTTAGGAGAATCAGCTTCACTTTCTGCAGGATGACCTCTTCTCAGATCTGGTAAACCTCACTCATCTATTCCTGCATGGAAACCGCATCCGTGCTGTGTCTGAAAATGCATTCAGAGGTCTGGTCAACCTGGACCGCCTCCTTCTTCACGACAACCGCATCAGGCAGGTAAACAGACGGTCTTTCCGTGACCTGGGCCGTCTCACCATCCTTTACCTGTTTAACAACTCCTTGGCTGAGCTGCCCGGTCAAGCAATGAGAGACGTGCAGGGCATTCAGTTCCTCCGTCTAAATGGCAACCCATGGTCCTGCGGTTGTGAAGCCCGTCCCCTGTGGGAGTGGTTCCGCAAAGCCCGCATCTCCTCATCAGACCTGATTTGCACCTCTCCATCCCAACGTCGTGGCCAGGACCTCCGATTCCTCAGGGAGTTGGACTTCGCCCTCTGCCCGGTGCCTGACCCCGGCTCCCTGGCTGGAACCACCACCACCACCTTCAGCACCAAAACCCGTTGGTGGTTCTCCAAGAATAAGCCAGCCTCTTCATCCAAAGCGCTGTATCAGAAGAATTCAGAGACTGTCAAGTCCGTCCCATTCTCCTCTGGTAAAACCGTAGATTCCTTCTCCTCTAAATATGAACTGTCGGAGGATGAAGCAGCTCTGCCTAAGCTGGACCCAGAAGAATATTGGGCCAACTATGGCAACGAAGACTCCTCCATCCGTTGCTTTGACCTGGACTGCCCTCCAGGCTATGACGTCTCAGCATTCTCCTCGTCATCCTCCCTCATCGCATCATCTGTTCTTCAACTCCTGTTCATTTCCATAGTCACAATGTCCCTCTATTTCCTCTTTGGCTGAACTCCTCAGTGCTTTACTTACTTTTCCCTCTTTGAACTGTCCCTCTGCTCTTTTCATAACTCTGACAAAATCCTTGATTCCTTTCAGCTGCCTCCTCTAGTTGCCGGAGTCGCTACGCTGATGCAGGAGACAGGCAGAGCAGCAGGACGCTGTTTAACAAAGAGCAGAGATACGTAGAAGCTGAGGTAGAGCAGAACAGGACTCCCACGTCAGAACAGTCGCTGTTCAGAGCTGATCACAAGTCAGGGCTTAGAACAGGAAAACTGGTTAGTATTGAAAAATGAACAAACAGGAAGATAGAACACAGGCAGCTTCAGATATTTCTTTTTAACAAATACAGCTGTAAACAATGCAGGTGTTGTTTTTTTGTCAAGTGGGTAAATATCGCTCTCTTCTCATCTCAGTCCTGCTCATGGTAGTGTCATCCACCAATTTATTGTCATTGATTTATTGTACGGTGACACCAGGGTTGTGGCAAGAGTAAGCTGAGTTAAGATTTTTTTTAAAGAGAGAGAGAGTTAAAAAAAGACAGGGAAACGTGAGAAGAGTAAGTGTGAAGACAGGGGAGAATCAGAGGATGTTGTCGTTTCTGCAGCAGCCTCTCTCCTCGCCTCCTTCAGATAGTAAGAGAAACTCATGTGATCCCTTGGTGCCAGCAAGCCACCCACTCATGTTCAGAGCGTTCGCCATCACTGTACATACACACACCACTCTGTTTCATCAGGCTTTACACTTTCCTTTTTGTACAACTTAGGACACAGCAGCTTTTGTGATAGAGAGGTCGATTTTTAGAGATAAAAGTTTCCCAAACAGAAAATTGGTCACAGGAGAGGCCCTCATCTGCTATTCTGAATGTGGGCTGCAGCTGAGTAAAAAAATTAAATAAGACATGAGAAAGATCATGTGTAGTTGAAGTGTGTAGCCCAGATTCTGGATAGCATTAATGGGTCTCCATGATTTATTGTTGAATGTGGCCCACAAAATAGTCAGTGTGGCCCATTACTTGTCCAGACCCACGGACAACATTTCTTTTATTCAAACTTCTCCCTGAATTCTCCCTGAGTTTGTTGTGTTTAATTCAAACCAAGGAGGTGCTGTGACTATGTACGTTAATATTTGCCTTTTAAGAATGACAAGACTTAAATTTCATAGTTTTGACTTATTGTAAGACTTTTTTAAGCTTGGATTTTCTGATACTGTCAGTTGAATGCCTGTGTGTGTGAGAGAGATGCTCTTTTTTTCACCACTTTTTTAAAAAATATTCCTGATTTCATTGATTTACAGCAATGTGCAAAAATCAGAGGACAGCCGCATATTTATGAAATGTTTGATAAATTATCAGAGGACAGCCGCATATTTATGAAAAGATTCAATGTTTGATAAATGACTAAATCATTATTTTCTGTTTTTTTACCAAGCAAAATAATATACACCTTATTATGGCATTGGTTAAACAACAAATGCAGACTTTTGCACACTGCTCTACAACTATCTTTTTTACTCAGCGACACTCACTATTTTACAAATTTCCTCTCTGACTCCGCTTGGATTTTTTTTTCTTAGCAATCTGTTCATCACATTGCCAACGGCATATGTTCCTGTCATGTTCCACCATATTGACTGTGATTGAGTTTTGGAGAGAACATCAGAAAATACTGTGATCTTATTACATTCTTTGTTTTGCAATTGAGACATGTCTTTGCACAGTGTTGTGCTTTATTAAATAAAGAAGTATCCAAAATGAAGTGTGTGGGAGGTTTTTGTTTCATTGTGGTCTGTGATCACTGAGGTGAACAGAAAACGGCCAACAAATTATTTTTTTCTAAGATGAAAGGAATCATTAACTAAACTGGAGAAATACAAGTGGTGTTGACAAATTATTTATCCTCTACCCCCTAATCATTTTCAGCATCCAGCAGTCATGGTGAGGGTGGGTACATGTAGAGAGTTACCACTGGAAAAAACCTCGATTTAGCTGTAAAGTAAGAGCCATAACCACCACAGTTTATTAATATATATATGTACAGTATATATACGTATATGATTTACACACTAAAGGTTCTGGGTTTGAGCCACAGAGGAACCACATGCTTGGCACCTCCTGTTGTGCAGCCTGTTGCAGCAGATCTGCTGGTAACAATTCCCCCAGTGTGGGATCAATAAAGTTCAAAGTATTACTATTATTATTAAATAATAATTAAAATTACAAATCAGTGCAGTTTCTCGACAGTGTAACAGTGCAGCAAACTGTAGCCACCACTTCCAACAGCCCTGTGACACACGAAGAGGCACGCCCCCCACTTTGGAAACCTTGGTCTACCACATCTTGTTAATCCCCTAAAGAAATGACTCTCTGTTCAGGGCCTGGATATGAGCCATGCTGTCATGTCGTCTCTGTCAAACTTCATTCCCACCTATCATTTACGTAAGGGGTCTGTGTGAGGTCTGTGTGTGTGTGTGTGCATAAGTGTCAATGAAATGAGCCAGTGTGTGGTGAAGGTGACAGCTCTCAAAAGTGATCACTCCTCGGACCAGTGTTTTTTCACCACATCTTGAGCAGAAGGCTTCTATACTGAGTAGGATTGAGGGGTGAGATGGGGGTGGGGGTAGGGGGGAAACAGAACAGGAACATGAGGATGAAAACGTGTCCATGTGTCACGAAATTAACACACCCCCTCAACAGACTACTCTCACCATGATGATCATAACACTGCTGCCCACCCTCGTCTATGTACGTATATATATATGTGTGTGTATATATATGTATATATCCATATATATCCATATATATACATATATTTATAGACACAGGTTTTCTGGAGCAACAGAAACTTCTCTTCTGGAGGACAAAACTTCTGCTTTGTTTTCCAGAAGTGGCTCTAGCAAGCTAAGGAAAGCGGTTAGCTCTAAAACAAAGTGATAAGCAGAAAAGCCTGGTTAATGACAGTGGTTGGTTCGCAGTCGCAAAAACTGCAAAGTTCCTCTAAAACCAATGGAGGGACTCAATCAGTTTTTTTTAAATACAATCTGTGAACTAAACACAAACTTTGCAAACAAACTTCCTGCAAACACAAAACAAAGCAGCTTTAAACAATGTCCATTTTTATGAATGGAACTGTTGACTTTTGTCCTTCTTTGGCTAAAAGCAGCTTCCTGTTTCAGTGACATAACCGAGCCATTAGCAAAGAAACATGTCTCTGAAGCTGTCAGGCTTTTGAAGATGTGCACTCATCAAACACTATGCCCACTCATTCTTCTGATGCTACATTTTTACCACTCTTTTGTGCGTGTGTGCTTTCTTTTCTGATATTCTGTCATTCAGTCATTGTCTAAACGCCAACCACTGCCTGTCACAGTCGCTCCCACATGGTTCGGCCCTTCTTGGCCAAGCCTATATTTTGGCTGATACGTAGTCGTTTGCGTGCCATTGGCGTGTGTGCTGACGTCCACTTTCACACATGTCCTATATTTGCAAAGGATGAACCGAGACTCACGCTGACGTCAGAAGGCTTTGGGGAAAAGTGAGGAGGCTGAAAGAGAGGTTTCAGATAAAATGAAATGAATGAATTGACTGCTGCAGGGTTCAGAGAGTTCCTTCTGAGAAACAACAGGTTCTTCTCCAAACTCTGACAATGCAGGGCTTCAAGTCAATGACAACTGACCCACAGTATCCATAATGGATGAACACTCATTTGCAGCCCCGTTACACTGACCAGGTCCCATTGTCCAGCAGGTGGAAACATGATCCTGTGGGTTAGTGAACCTCTGCTTCTGGAACACCAAACAGAAGAGGAAGGAAAGAATGAGGCAACACAGAAAGATGAATAAATTATCTTTAAATGGTAATGCGGGCTATGAGCAAAAAGGGGACAATCTTCAACCTGCAAGTGCCTTATGAGAGTGCTACGAAAAAGTCAAAAATGCTTTCACGGTGTAGCCTTGAAAACATTTTATTTTATTTTTTTAAGAGCATGAAAGCGGGAGATGGACACCAAAGAACATGAAATGCAACTAAAGTAATTGATGTATTTTTAGGGTTTATACAATAACTTTCTACCTCAAAACCTTACTGAACCGGCTTATTAGACCGTTAAAAATTAACATTTTTTCTCTCAAGTCTCAAGAATCAGGGAATTAGTCACTGTCTCTGCAAACATAAATAGAATGGAAATTATGAATGGAAACTCTGCCTATATATATGTTTTTCACGTGTGTGTGTATGTGTGTGTGTGATTGACGGCCTACAGACTGTTGCTCTGTGCATCCGGTCTTGACTCATTCAGAACCAAAGCTGGAGCAAAGGGTGAAAAGGGCACATCTGTCCTATGGGCTGTTCAGACCTCTGAGGATTCACCCATATGAGTTAAAAAAAGGAAATGTTCTCAAAATAGACAGTTAAGATTTGATGTGTGCAGTCTTTTCATGTATTTCATCTATGGTCTGAGTGAAATTAATTCACAGAGCTCAGTTGAATAGGTGATTTCAGCGAATAAAATTTGATAGATGTTTGTGTTCCATGGCAGCTCTTCGGACGTCTTGTATAATTCCTATCAATTGGCATAGATGACATGACGTCTCTTAGACACGTTGCCCAAGTGCCCAAACATGTGACTGCGTCATTCATGTGAAGCGCATGAGGATTTAATATTGCTAATTTTGTCCACCATGAGCTTAGGGTACTCAAACAGATCCATCTGCTGCTCCATGGGGCGGTCTAACACTTTCTTCTTCGGCTTGGCAGCTTCCTCTTATCCATCTCTCCAAAGTCTACATGGGGATGTTGACTTCGTGATCCACGTGTTTTTTCTAAGATGGGAGATTAATATTAAGATGTTTATTTATAGTCACATTCAGTGAGCAGACTCAGATGAGATGCATCATTTCATGTAACAGGAGAAATATGACCAAGAACAGCATGTATAAGTCAAAATGAAATAACTCTCTGCCCTTGGTAGTTAATACTGATTTCATGGAAAATGTGACCAAAATCACGTTGACAATTGTTTCATTGTTTGTGAACTATGTCCTAAAGAATTTTTTGTTAGAAAATGTTTACCTCTGAAGTGTGACATGTCGTGATATGTTAGTCACTCTATTTGAGTTTTATTTGATAAAGTTATTGAATTTTGCCATTAAAGAATGAAATTTCTTCACTAACAATTAGGGGAATAAAAGTATAGAAAATATGAAGCTGTAATATATATATATGACTATGCTTAACACATGGACTCCTTCCTATTACTACCCTACACCTGATGTAGGTATTTACGAGGATAAAATCAACAACAATCTGGACTATTTGTCGAATTTTGACATGTGAGGGAAACATAAAAAAAAAATATATAAAAAAAACATTTTCTGTTAAGAGACATTTAATATAGATTTTTAAAAACTTTTATACATAGTGCAGTGACAAAATAAGCAAGTAAAGGAACTTCCGGTTGACTTACGGCCTTGCTTTATAAAAGTTGATAAAATTATTAATTAAGGAGAAGTACTTAATTTATTTTCAACAATTACAATAAACAATGGTTTAATGTTTATAAATTAATCTATATTTATATATTTGTAAAATGGCTGTAGAATGACGTATTGACGCTCCCCTATTAATGGTACAGTCCACTCCGATACCGCGAAACGTTTGTAGCAGTGATGGCGTCCAAAACAGGTTTGTGCAAGAATGTTGTGCTAAGGTTGTTAACAAATATTACAATTGTCGTAAAACTACACTCGCTGTATTTGTGTTATGTATAGTGAGTTTCCCGTGTTCGCAGTATGTTAAGTGACAACAGCTGTAATACCATCGGCCTGACTGCAGCCACCGGAGGCTTATTTTGGCTAAGGAAACTGTTAGAAACTAGAGTGAAACATTTAGCAGGTTAGATTAGATTTAGCAGGTTAGGTTAGCATCTTAGATTATCTGATCATTTGTGTTTGCCGATGCGACTGACTACATTTAATGTACTCCTAATATTTGTTGTGATTTACATTGATGTTATAATGTGGTAACTGTCGTAATGCACTGCTGAACGTTAAGTTATCATGTGGCGATCAGGTCGACGGGGCACGAAGCGGAAGGCAGAGGCTGCATTGGAGGAGAAGCCATGTGTGGAGGATAATAAAGAAACAAACAGTGGAGAAGAAGGGAATGGTCATGGAGGACAGAGGGTGGTAATTGAGCACTGGTGAGTGGTCACATTACAGACTACCCGTAATAGTGTTTCCAAAATCACATTAAATGGCACGTCTAGTTAGAATTTAGTCCACCTCTGTGGACTAATTTGCTTTCGACCAAATATGAAATTGAATGCCGGTGTCTGGAGATTTGTTTCTGGACATTCTCCATGATGATTGTTAATCTGTAATTTCTGACAGTAAGAGCTGACGAGTGTATGGGCGTAATGCCGAGGAGGTGAAAACTGCCATCCTGGCTGCCCACCCTGAACTGACTGTGATCCTCAACCCCGAGAAACCTCGCAGGAACAGCTTCGAGATCACTCTGGTGGATGGAGGCAAAGGTGAGGAGGATGAAAAAGGTCAAATCCAAAAATAGATCAGCCACATGGCATTTTCAAGGAGAAGGCTGATTCTTGTTGACACTTGAGAACTATCTTTGGACCTTTATTAACTTGTGCTGGCTGTTTTAATAGATGAAGTTTTAGTTAACTGTCCAGCCACATGGCATTTTCAAGGAGAAGGTTGATTCTTGTTGCCACTTGAGAACGATCTTTGGACTTTTATTAACTTGTGCTGGCTGTTTTAAAAGATGAAGTTTTAGTTAACTGTTGTAAACTATCAAACCCTACACTGTGTT